ATACCTTTGACAGTATTTTTCTTATGATTTAATAATTTATGGAAAATAAATTAATATACTGAAAAAAGAGCTAATACAGAATATGAAAACTCCAAGGGCAAAGGTGTTCTACACGAAATTTTGATTACCCTGGAGCAACAGCAGTCTGAGGAGGATTCCATTTTGCTTTGAGCCATACAAGGCTACAAAGAGTTTTCTGTAGAATCACAGAGATGATGGTTGGAAGGTACCTCTGGAGATCACAGAATCTCCCACCTGAAGTGGGATAGCAATACAATCTAACATCTTGCTACCTGCCAAAGAGTCTTCTCAAGTACTTTATAATACTTTCTATTACCACATGCATGCTTTGGAAGATGTGCTGGTGAGGTGGAGTGCATGTTCAAGTGCCCAAATGAGCTCCGCTGAGTTAGTAATGTCTTCATGTTATTCACTTACTTTAAAGTCATGTTAAAGTAAACACAAATAAGTTTTTATTCACACCAGTTAGGCAAGTACAATTAAGCACAATCATGTATTTTATATCTATGTACTTATATCAACTAAATAGAAATGTTTTTTTCAAAGATTTGAAGAAGTAAAAGAAAAACTATATGCAAACTAAGGAGCTGATAGGGGCTGTTAGGGGCCTACCATCTTCACTGCATGGTCCTGTCCTCCTCCTCCTGTGGCTGGCAGACAGTTTTGCCCTCCTTCTTTATACTAAATATGGCAGTCATCTGACCTTGCATAAAGACACTTTACCTCACTACATGGCTGGGGGAAGGTTAAAAAAACCAAATGAATGCCTTTCTGAAGGCTCAGTGAAGTGACATGGCTCAGCAATATGTCAGAGAAGCACCAGAACTCCCCCTAGGGATCCTGTGGGAGTGCAAGACTGGGAAGTGGATAAACTCTTGGACATCAGCAGATATACTGTTCAACATCTAACCTAAGACAGAATCAGACCCATCTCTCTCCTGTCCAGCTGACTTTCTGCCCTAATAAAGTTGCTGTCAGAGGTTGTTTTTGTAGATACATTCCACCTCTGTTTACAACTATTAAAGAGCACTTTTGCAACATTTCCTTTTATTTCATCCTGAGGTCATCCAGCAGTTCAGGAACAAGTATTTCTTTCCAAAAATTTGCTCTCTTCCAGCATTATGCAGGACACAAACTGTTTTTTTCTCTTAATAGCATAAGCATTGTTTCATTTTCTTATCCTTTTCTGACATATGGCAGCACAAGAGATAATATACAATTAAAAACTATTGCCTCAGGAGGGGTAAAATTCTTCCTCATCCACTTTGATGACTCACAAGTACATTTCATGTGAATATATCAAACTTCATATTCTGTATCAATCTGTTCATTAATAAACATGCTAGTGTGACATATAACTAGCATCTTTGTGCATGGCCTGTTACTGAAAACAGGTGTAACAGTAATGCTTTTTGGACTGGCAGTGGTTTTGGGGTGACTGCCAAAATCATTTCTGTAAGGAAACTACAAAACACAACTAAACAGCTTGCTTCTAGCAAATAAATTAATGCAATTAAAGTTATTCAGGCTATACAGTTAAGATCTCCAGCCTGTATAACTAGGTTGTCATAGAAAAAACATCTGAACTAACTGCAGAAGTACAGATAAATTAAAAACATATGCCTAAGTTGCAAAGCAGAAATCCGTGCCGTAAAACTGTTTAGTTTGTTCCACACTGAGTGATGCCAGTGATACCAGAATTTTAAAACAACTGATAGGTAACTTCCAGATAACTTACTGGTAAAGACTGGTAGACATTTATTATTATCAAACAAAAAAATATTTTTGATGCTGATTTCAAAGTCTGACTTTTATCTAAAAATCTAGGCAATGGCGATTCTCACACTTCATTTTATATATAGGAAAAGATAATCCAGTGCTAGTCTCCAAGATTTTTCTCCCTTCTACGGGTAACAGAATCAACTGGCTGACTGCATTTAGCTTTCAGGGCCTCCAGAACACACATGAAGGATCATCAGCTATGCCTGCACGTCCCAAGGAGTACAGAAATTCCAGTGGGTTTTCTAACACAACCTCTGCACATTCACATGGTTAAATGCAGATTCAGATGCGGCCAAGACGTAACATGTGGGTTGCTGGCTTCCAGTTTTTTGTTTCAGATTGTCATCCATGTGGCAAGGTACTGAAATACTTTCTGTATTCAGCAAAAATGCTGACATTATTCCACAAAGCACAAATACAATACATTTAAGCAGCAAGGAACACAAAATACTTCCTCTATTTGAACTATCCACAAGCCTACAGCTCATCTGAAGAAGAGGTAAGTAACTGGCTTCTGTATAGAAGCAGCTAACAAGCCCAGTACGTAAGGACACTAGATCCCTTCTGGATTCGTATCATAAACCTGTATACTGATTCTACATACTAATACAGAATCAGAAAATACAGATAATATAAAACTATCTTCAAAAGAGGGAAGAAAAATTATGAAAGTAATTTGTTTGCTAATATTTAAAGAGGAATTAACACTTGTGTTTATCTTCCTTCATTCTCAATTCTTACCTTGTTATGATAGACTTGCAGCATTTGATGTTAGCTCCATCAAATTGGCTCTTACCCAAGTTTAGCTTTCTAATGGTTTCCTCCAGCTGTACAGTTAACTTCTCATTTAGTATCTCCAAGCAATTTGCTATATGTAGCTTCTCTCCACTGTCAGCTTCCTGTTGTTCAATAAAAACAAAGTTTACGGAAAACTTAACCTCGCACGAATAGCAGGATTATCTAAAATGATGCGGAGACAGGATCAGTGTTGATTTAGAGGAAACCAGTGCATCCAACCAAGATCACTAGCACAACTTCCAAACTCTGTCTTGGGCTGCTCCTTGTGTGTCTCCTCTCCACATACAATTAAAGATTCTGTCATAGCAACATCAGTGCTTAGAAGTGTTCATTCCATATTAAACATTAAAAAAAAGATACTTGCCATAACCACTAACTAATGGAAATGAAGGGAGGCATTACAATGGCCATACCCTTTTCAGTTCTTTATGCAGCCTCTCATTTTCAGTGATGACTTTTTCAATTCCTTTGGTTTTAGATTCATTATGCATACTCAGCTGGCCCCTCAGATGAAGTTTCATTTTTTCCATTTCAGACTAAATATCAGTTTGTAAAAACACATATATATTGCTTAGTAGAAAATTCAGGTTTCCATTTTTAGGAGGTTTCCATTTTCAAAGCACAGCATAGTTACAGCTACCTAGCACAGTGAATATAAAATTTCATCACTTATTTAAATATATCCCTAAGGTGCAGAGTCCCTTTACCTAAATCATGCAGTATGTTATACTGAAGTGAAGTTCTTCTTCTGTGTTCTACACCTTTCATAGTTGGTATTATTAAAACACTTTTATGCCAATCAATGTCAACAACAGGCTTCCTACTCCATTTTCCCACTAAATGGCATATAAACTGCTATCTAAATATAGTTATTGGAGATAAATCAGTACCTTTAGCCTCTCATTTTCCTGTTGAAGAACAAGTAATTTCTCATTAGAAATGACAGCTGGAGCTTTTTTCAGATCTTTGTTTTCTCTTTGGGCTCTACAACCTTCCTCACCAAACAAACTGTTTTTTCCAATTCTGGGACTGTCTTTCCAATTCTACCAACTTATAGAGAAGGAAGAAAAAAAAGTAAAAGGAAATAAACAGTTCATCTGAACATTCTGGGATATTCCAAATCTTACTTTATTGCTTATTTTCCCACTGCAATTTATATTTATAAAAAAAGATGTTATATTTTGGAGTGACTTGAACCCTAAAGTTTCTTGCACACTTAGCTCCCCAAAGTCAACATATCAGCTCCTTCATTTTCTGTGCTACCCAAGAAAGCTGCAGTTAAGTCTCAAAATCTGCTGTACTTTATGAAGTAAATTGAAACATCAGGAAAATAAATCAGTGCTACCTTTTTTTTTTTTTTTTTTTTTTTAGCTTTTCTGGTAGAGCAATTCCCTGATCCAACAGACCGTGCAATTTCTTGAATGCTAATACTGTCTGAGGGGAGAGAAGAGAAGAAGAGGGAAAAAAAAAAAGTCTGGGAGCTTGAGGGAGGAAAAAAGGGCCCTTTTTAGCAACCATACTTCTGCTGGATTAAAGTGACAGAAGAACTACATCTTAAAGCATAAGTAAATCTTTTCCCTTTCCCAAGGCATATATTCTCCTCATAGAGTAAGGGGAAAAAAAAAATTGGGGCAGGGGGGAAGCTTGCAATTTCTCCATTTTAATTTTTTCACTACATTAATTTATGAGGTAGAAAAGATGTTAAATGGTATTCAAATGCTTTTGTTTTCTCGTTATCTTTGCAGTGACTGTTTTCCTCAGCAATAATAATTATTTAAAGATGTTGCTGCTTCTAGTTCTGGGTCCATGAAGTACCTCTTTTTCTTTCTACAGAGGTAAGGAGCACAGTACAGTGGAAAACGGGGAAGATTTTACTGGAGCTATACATAAACCTATATAGTGAGCAAGCTTTGGAAGTAAAAATGACTTATTCTTTCTTCTCTAAAATAACTGGAGGGATTAGGAGGTCTGCGTTGGTACACAGCAGAGTTAAAGAAAAACCTGTCAGATTTTGGTGTTTGAAAAGGGAGGAAGATTCAGAATTTGCTGCCTCCTCAGAACCTTTGTGTGAAACTAAACTGAATTTCCTTATCCAAAAACTACCACTGCATAAGAGACAGGCAGATACACAAAGAGTCTGTGCAAGGTACAGGTAAAAGAATAGGAAATATACAACCTTTTCTGGGTACCCAGAAGTAGAACCCGTTCTCCTTGTATACTGAAAGAGCTACAAAGGCACTTGAGAGCTTTTATTAAATAAGCTTCCTTTAAAAGGTCAACAAATAGTTTGACAAGTCAGTGGCAAGAGAGATGCTGAGCAATGCTGAAGCCTTTTTCCCCTGTAACTTCTGAAAAACTTCTCTATTAAAATAGCTGATAATAGCTTGGGTAAAATTTAACTGTGTCATCTTGCACAGTACAACAAATAAAAAAACTTCACTAGCACTTTCTAACATCTGCATCAAATCAAAATCCTATCTTTTAAATCATAAAGCTGTAACTGTATTATGCATTTACATAAATACTTGAATATAATTTTCATTTTTCATAAAATTCATAATTTAGCTTTAAGAAAATAGATTTTTTTATTTTGATTTAATGATGATGAAAAATGTTGTTACAACACTCACTCCTCTCATGCTGCCCAGCTTTCATTCAACAACTGCTTTCTCTTTTTTAAAAGTTCACACATTTCTTTTAAGTTATCTACTTGGTCCTAAAAAATCCAAAGGCATAAGCAACTCATTTAGATTTCAAACTGAGGTGAAGAGTAACAAAATTACAGTTAGTTTACTTTGAATAGTGTAAAGAGAAAATGAGTTCCCATTGCAATAACATTTTTCATCATTTCTACCAGCTGTTCAACCCTTCTCATCTTCCATAAAAACATTAAAAACTTACAGTATGTACAGAAAAGATAGCAATTTCTTTTTAAGCAATCTGCTAACCTGTGTCAGAGTAAAGAGGACTAAAGGCAGAAAGATTTTTACTTTTTAAAGATTTTTAAGATTTTAAAAATACTTTTTATTTTTACTTTTTAAAGATTTTACCCTCTTTACGGTGAGGGTGTTGGAGCACTGGGACAGGCTGCCCAGAGAGGCTGTGGAGTCTCCATCTCTGGAGATGTTCAAAACCCACCCGGACACTTTCCTGTGCAACCTGGTGGAGGGAACCTGCTTTGGCAGGGGGCTTAGACTGGATGATCTCCTGAGGTCCCTTCCAGCCCCTACCATTCTGTGATTCTGAGAAAGATGTTACCTTTAGTCTTGGCAAATCTTTACTGGCCTGCTCTAGCTGGAATCTTAGCTCAGTGTTTTCAGATTATTATCTTAAATTTTCCTTTAAAACCTCTTGTTCTCTTCAATATTGATCATCTGATCCTATTCCTGATGTCTTGAGAAAAAGGAAGGGAAAAAAAATTATTATTAAGTGGTAATGCACTATTCATTTTATCAGTTGTAGCTGATAAAGAACAACAGAGAATTGGTGTTCTTCACAGAAAAGATGGATGACAGTTGTATCACCGGTTTTGGTCTAATCTGCAATGACTTTAACTCCTTCTCTTACATTTTCTAAAGTTGCTTAACCTTTAAGGAGAAGTTTAGAAATCAGTATAAACCAGTAAAACTTTTGTCAAGCCAAAATTAACTCAAAGTATTGGGTAGGAATAGATCTCAAAGACAAAAAAGCTACTGAGTGTAGTAAGCTGTGACACCATACCTGGGAACAGCACCTGATTTTAAGGACAGATTCTGATATGTTTATTAAATAGTACCTATGGCATAAGGAATTTCACTGAACTCAAAGAGATTACAGAGCAAGTCAGGAAGAGTAGTATATAACTCTAGTTCTTAGTCTATTAGTTCATACAATCTTAAGTCTTTATTAATTGGAGGCTAGTAATTTCTATTACATAAAGAGTGCTTTGCATGCCTTATATTGCTAATTTCAATCATAAGGTAAATTATTATGCCTGACTAGTAAAGAGTAAAACTTTTTGATGATATAATAATCAGCAGTTTTTACTTAGGTAATTATGGAATCAACCATATGATCCATTAATTCACTAATAATGACAGGAATAAGGTATTTGCTTCAGTAAAGCTTATTTTTTTCTTAGTGTACGTAATAACACATCGTAATTTTTTCATCATAAAAAATGAAGCTGCCTGTATCATTGTGATTATTTGTAAACCTTCTGGATTAAAATTTTAGAATTCAGAGTAGCTTACTTGTCAGCTGACATGCATGCCTATCATGAAAGTATAAGGTTTGCTTTATGGACCACTAGGTGACTACTTCAATATCCCTGTAGACCATGCATAGGAAACCACTACATTATCAAGATCAAACTATTCTATTTCTACATCATTTATACAGAAGAAATGCTAGAGGACTGCTACAGTACCAAACCTCAGGCACTTCCCTAAATTCTGGTGTCATTCCAACCCCCTGGGTAACGCTTCGGTAAGTTTCATGTTTATCCTCTGCAGTGTGTTGATTAATTTCACATTTATTTCTTCTGCTGCATAGTCATTAGCTTGATTAGAAGGTTCCCCTGCATCAGACTGATTGCACCTCATTCTGACAATATAAGGCTCTTCTACACTTTCTTCTTCATCAACATTTGATTGCTTGAGTATTTCTTGCTTCCTCTCCTCTTCAAATTAGTCATTAAGTTTTCCATTTTCAGGTTGGGTTATATTTTCTTCTTTTTCATGGCAGTTCTCTTTATCAGCTTCAGCCATATTTTTGCTTTTCAGTCCTTCCCTGGAAATATCTGTGTCCTTGCATTTCTCACTATCTTCAGGATGCTGTTCAGGAGACACTTCTGTGCCTGCACCCGCAGTAGCCTCATGGCCTTCGTTACGCATGATGCATCTTTGCATGTCTGCTTCCTCATCTATTTCATTGCCATTAATAATGCTATAATTAGTCTGATGTTTGACTTCACCCCTATTTGAAATAGATTTATTTTGAAGGGAATTCAAATACTTTTGTTTACTGATACTGATAGGAACAGACTTGGTCAGTTCAGTTTGGTCCCATGTACTATGATTCAAGTTGAAGACAGAATGAAGCATGAAAGAAAAGCAGAAGGCAGTAAAACAAAACAGGACATAAAGAAAAGGTATAAGGTCCCTTCCACAGGTATATGGTTAAGGTCCCTTCCAACTCAAACCATTCTATGATTCTATAAAAGCTTTTCTTGTTGGCACAACGTCCCTGGCCAGATTTAATTCTGTCAGGGCTTTAGCTTTTCTAACCTGATCCCGGCTGCTCGGACAATTTCCCTCTATTCCTCCCAGGCTACCTGTACTCGCTTCCACCCTCTGTAGGCTTCATTGGTCCTGCTACTACCAAATTCCTCCTCAGCTTTGAATGTTCATTTTACAAAAAAGGAGCAACACATTTTATGAAATTAGAGGTGCTAGTGTAATGTATCCTTTTACTTTGAGCTACATGTTAGTAAAGAAGACAAATTAAAGAAGTGGATTTTTATGCCAAATGACAGCTGATCGGTCTTCTGCAGCTCACCAGTTTATATGCCCCTGCTGCACAGCTGTACAATTGGTCATTTCAGGTTACTTTTTCCTATGAGAAATGGAATCTCTACTTAAAGTTACAATTTCAGTAACTACAAATTATACATCAGTTGAAACCTGTACCTATGTGATCACAAATGGCTACTGAAAAAAAATCACAGTCAATACTCCTATAAGTTTTTTGTTGTTGTTGTTTTGGTTTGGTTTTTTATTTGACTTTTTCCTTCTCCAGTGAGCCCCTGTACTTTCTTTTCTGTCTTCATTCTGAACAGGTATTGCTACTAAGGGACAGATAGAAAGCAAAATCTTGGAAAAAGAAAAAAATCAGACCAAGTTTGAGAAAAATATCTATAGACATTAAGCAACAGGTATTTAAAAGGTCTCTAATTGGAAGAGTAAGTGCAGTCCTAGAATAATATTTAATATCATAAATAGTCTGAATGTCATTATACAGGCATGCTATAATATTCCAGTATACTTTATGACTGCTATGACAAGCCATTAATTAGATACTGAAGCAGTAAAATAACAAGCAAAAAAGCCAAACAGCTGGTAAAATGAACACATCTCCAATCATTCAGAACCTCTTGTATGTGGGGGTCGCTATTGTGACCAATAATCACTTACACAGACATCATCCTTTTTAGAATTCACACTTTTGCTCCCAAGTACTTCATGCTTTTATCATTGCACTGATTTTGCAAATGCCCATTTGACAGCACTTAGATAATCAATTTCACTGCTACCTATAAAATCTTAGTTTTCTAAGATGTGTAACAGATCTTTAATTCTACAAAAAGGGCAGGAAAACATTAATATACCAGCACTAAGCAGCGAGAGCAGTAACAGAGCATGGAAAACATGAAGAAGTTAAAGTCATGAAACTGCTTTTCTTCTGATCAGGTTTGGCTGTTTTTTTGTAGAGGCAATAGGGAGAGTTGCACTGCCCAGACCCTAGACCCAGGCTGATGATGTCTTTCAAAGCCATGATCTAAATATCACATACCTTGTCTTCTTTTACAGCTTTTTCTTCTGTTTCTTCACACTTCTTCTCAAGTTCACTTTCCAACTTTTAAATTTTTTTCTGAAGTGTATCTATCAGATTTTTTTTCTCACCTTTGCTCTGAAAAGTTACAAACTTTTACAAAATTAAAATTTAATGACTACTACCCTAAGTATTTTTCTCCACTCAAAAAATAAAGACTTTAAATCCAATTGGTAGAATTAGTTTACAACCTAACTGACCTTTTAAAAATTATCTTTAAATTATTAAGGTACTGGAATGTAACTCTGCATTCTAAACTGAATAATCAGCAGCAAGTAGCTGAATTTAAAATAAAAATTAGACAATTCTACTGTAAATCCTTTACTTCTCTTCTGGAAGATGAAATAAGGGCAACCAGAAAGATCACGAAATTCCATTTTTCAAAGAAGCTTTGAAAGTGGTAATTCAACTCCTTAGACTTTTTCAAACATATTTCAAGGAGCAAGAATTTTTCAGTCTCTTCCTTTTATTTGAGACTTGCTTCCAACAGCAAAAGGTAATAGCTCACATGTAACACAGCTGATGAGCAAACATAATTTTTTAAATCAAGTATAAGTCTCGATGCCTGCCAAAAGAACTTAAATCTTTTCCCACAAAACCAGCACATCTATGCAGAAACCTGACCAATATCAAACATGTTTTTAAAAATCACCTCTATGTGAATGCTACTGCTCAGCCTCCCAATCCGTTTCTTCAGTTCTTCATTTTCTTTTCCATTTCATTTTTTTTTTTCTCAACATTCTAGCAAATACTTTTGTTTCTTCTGAAGCTCTTGGTTCAACTCATCCCTTTCATCAGACAAAGAACTTTCCCGGGTTTTACTTATTTTGAGGTTATCTGTAAATTTTGTAATCTGATTATTTAATTCCTCTATCTGTGTCTAGAAGAAAATGAACAAACCAGCAAACCCCCCAAATCAGGAATATCAACACTACAACAATGCACTACAATGATATTACTTAGTACTCACCATAAGCCCCTTTGTTTGTCTGTCAACAATCCCCTGGACATTCATATACACCTCTTCTTGTGACGCAGCAGAAATAATCTGCTGTTCAGCATTAGCAGTCATTTTGTCTTGGAGTTCCAGAAGTACTTGACTGAAAGCCTGAGAATAAATACAAGTTCTTTCAAGTGAACAAGAAAAGGCAATTATATTTTACTGTGTTATATTATGCAATTATATTCTACCTGCTTCTGTACTATACATAGAATTCTTAAGCATTAAGCAACATTAAACATTTATGTGACATAGGGATTAATTTTTGTTGACTGACTTTCTGCTGCTTCTCTTTTATGGCTAACTGGATCTGCAGCTGGTCCACCAGGTTTTTCAGTATTGCTGTGGGTGCTCTATTATTTGCTTCTTTTTAGACCTCTAGTTCAGCTTTTACATTTGCTAATTCCTTCTCCATCTGAGATAACGTGTTCCTGGATTCATTTGCTTCATCTTTTAGTTGTTGCACATCAACTGTGTGCTTTCCTGAAGCCTAATAAAAAAATAAGCATTAATAGAGTACACTGCAATAATTAAATTGAGAAGCTCCAAATAAATAACAAAAGGTACAATGTTACATTTCTTTATTATTGTTAAAGCAAATGACACACGGATTTGGAAACAACAAAAAGACTGACTCAACAAAGAAGTCTTCCATTTAGCAAGAAAAGTACTCAAGAAGATCAGGAAAATTAGATTAGAGCATTGTTCATTCTAATTTTTGGCCCTAACAGATAAGGCATCGTAATTTCCTCCTTTTAAACAGGGTTAAATTTTAATGAGTTTAAACTTGTTAGGCAGCAAGCTCAAACAGATATATCAGGGGGAAAAAAAAAACAAAACACAAACCAGCAAGTATCATAGTACCTTAAAGACAACTCTCATACCAAGACTCCTTGAATACTTTATTTTTCACTGAATGGCACAAAGCTAACAACTGAAAGGCATTTTTCCAAGTCACAGATTTTCAATATTAGTCCCGAGGAAGGGCTACAGATTAAAAATAATTTACAACTACCCACCATAGTAACTGGTCTGAGTTAAGTTTCAGCCAAATCTTAAATTCAGCAAAAACATGTTCAATTTGATAGACCAGTCCTGTAGCAGCAATACATAACTGACTCGATCCAATCCAATTGTGACTTATGTTAACAGTCTAAAAACTTACTGGGCTCTGACAGTCTCAAACTCTATGATTTCCATTAAAGTAATTTGGTTTTGTTTCTCCAAAGAGAAAGAAAATGTAGAGGAAGAAATGTATACCTGAACTTAGAAAACATGGTAATGTAAGAGCTGACAGAAACTGTTGTATTTACGGATTCAAATCACTCTAGAACGTGAAAGCAAATGCCAAGAAATTGTTTTAGCTAATAACAAAGCAATATAGTAAGTCTTCTGCAGATCTTCAAGATTTACAAGTCATTGCTTGTCTTGTAAAAAACAACCAAACTTTCCTGATATTACATATAAATGTTGACCAGGAGCTATTAATTATATAGGAATAAATATTACCTGGGGGAAGCTTCTGGCAGCTTCTCACAGAAGCCCCCCCTGTGCCCCCACCGCTGCCAAACCCAGTGGCCAGCACGGGCAGAAGAGCTGTTCTTTCTCCGCAGGGTGGGTACAGAGTGCGGCACCGTCTCCTGCCCCTGGGCCGGGCCGAACAGCAGCAGGGTCACGCCGGAGGTGCGCTCTGCTGACCCCGGACCCGCGTACCGGGACTGACCCAGCTCCAGCTACTTCTGGCTTTCAAATGCGCTGCCCAGGCCGGCGCTCCTCTGCCCGCTGCGGAGAGCGCTGCGGACCCGCA